CCTGGTCATGCCCCAGACCCAGACATCCCTGCTGCATCAGAGACACTCGTAGACGAGCATGCAGCGACCACTGGACAGCTGTCTACAGCAGAGGAGTCAACTCCATTTGTTAAATTTAGTTCTGCCATGGTGTTTGATAATGAGGTGTCAGCTGAAGGAAGCAGAGAAGATCTGAGAGATGTGCAGCCTACCGTGTCAGCTGGAATACCTGTATCCTTTTCTGTATCAGCTGTTGATCAAACAGGATTGGAGGCTATTAATCCCTCAGGAAGTACCATTTCCCCAGAAAACTTTGGAGAAGACACCACATCTGTTATCCACTCATCTCAGCAAGTGGAAGGATCAGCTATCTTAGAGGAGCAGGAAAAACCAAAGGAGCCAGAAACAAGAACAATGGATGTTAAAATCCCTCATGCTACAACCGTCATTCCTACTAGTGTTACAGCAGGATCCAAGGGACCTTCTGCAAGTGAGAAGTTCACACAGGCTCCTCCAGCTTTTGGCATGTGGCTGCCAACAGATAAAGATCAGGGGTATATGACAGAAGAGTCATCTCACACTGAGTTAGATACAGAAGATGGTATCTCTGGAATGGAGCCTACATCATCTCCAGGGCAAATTACAAAACATACAAAGCATCCAGGAGCTATGATTTCAGCAGTTACAGATGAAATAGAGGCAAGCAAGGAGCCAGCAGAAAGTGATGAAGAAGCTGTATCTGATTTCAATCAGAGTAAATACACTACAAGTGTCTCCCATACAAGCAGCTCTTTGGATTTGGAAATGAGCACAGTATCCCAAATACCAGTGGATGCAAGTAGTGCCACAATGAAGTCTTTTAGCTCTTCAGGTGTTATGGTGCTACCAACTGCTATGCCCACAGTCACAGGGGTAGCTGAACATGAAGGAGATGAAACATCAGGATACGTTTTGACAGTGTCTGTTACCCCAGAAGCTGAAGAAAGAGAGGCTACTGAGACACCAGTAGCAACGCCTGCTGAAGAAGTGTCTACTGAAATGGACATCTCAAACTACACAGTGACAGAAGAAGGCCAGACAAGCATTGTCACATCAGCTGAGGAGGAGTCAGCAGCAGCACTTCAAGATGCAAAACAAACACCATCAGTTGGCTTTGGAGGGACAAAGGAATCTGTTATATTTACAGATGTGATGAAGATAAATACTACAGTTCCACAGAAAGAACACGATTCTTCCCTAGTTCCAGTTATGGTAGAGAGTGAGGTCACTAGAGATATGCCAGTTACTGGTCAGACTCCTTTTGATGGTACCTTTCATACAGAAGCAAGAGAAACAACTGCAAAACATAGTGAGGTGTTCCCAGAGGAATCCTCCACGAAAGGTCAAGACAAGGAACCAGGTACTGCCACACAGTCTGCCTTACCTGTGACATCTCTCCAGACACGTGAACAGAAGGTGACATCAGGATCTGAATCGTCTCAGACAGCTATTCAGGAAAAACAGGATGAGACAGGTTCAGCATACGATGAGACTTACCCAGCAACAGAAGTATCAGTGCCTGTAGTGAAGATTACAGATTATGGAAGAGTTCTGGGACCTCATGAAACTAGCACCAGGGCCTTGCATCTCACAGTGACTCCGAAAGCTGAAACAGCTACTGATCAAGAAGAGAAGGTCACTGAAGTGATGTCTGTAACTGTGGGTACCCAAGCAAAAGCATATGAAAGCAAAGGAACCCCCACCAGTGAAGATGACACTCATGTAGTGAGCTGGGAGTCTGTGTTGCCCCCCGGTACAGTGCCCACAGGTCATTCCACTGTGGAAACTATTACTCATCTGACTTCAGCAGGTTCTCCAAGCCAAAATCTGGAAGGTTCAGGTATATCAGAAGAGCCTGAAGAAATCAAACCAGCTGTATTTTCAGCTAATGCAACAGATAAGGCAACATTTCTCAGTGATGTAACAACACCTTCTACTAGTGCTGTAGACAGAATTCAGCCTACATCAGCATCTAAACCTTTTATTACTCAAAAGTCACCACCTATCATTCCTGGGGAAGAAGAGGAGGTAACAAGCAATGACATCATCATAATTGATGAATCTATTTCTCCCAGTAAAACCACTGCTGATGACGATTTGGCAGGAAAGATGTTAGAACCAGAAATCGATAAGGAATATTTCACAGCATCAACTGCTACTGCAGTTGCCCGACCTACGGCACCACCCAAAGTGAAGGAGGCCACAGAGGCTTTGCAACCTCAAGAGGTGTCTCCTTCTACTTCACACCCTGATAGTGGAAATGACATAAGATTGTATGTTATTCAAATCACAGGCAATGATACAGGTAAGATTTTACCTTTTAGACCTGCAGTCCATCAGAATGGACAGTTAAACTCGTGTGCTTTAGAATATACTGGAGATGTTCCTTGGATCCCTGAAGGATGCAAAGTACAAGTTTTATCTAGACAGCAACTTACCAAATATTGGTAGGTCTATATTTCTATCCATTAAAAAAACCTCAGCAATGTGTTATATATATGGTTTGGGGTAAGAATTTCTGTGTAAGAATGAATATGAAAATGTTGTATTTCCTCTTTAAAGTCACGATGGCTATAGTCCAGCTTTCTTATTTAACGTTGTCAAGCCACTGATTTAACTTCAGCTATCTGTGAAACAAGCATTTTAATTTTACAGCTTCCATTCCATGCATTACTAGTCCTAAACGAAGCACTAGATTATTTTAACATTCCATTAGTCTGTAGCAATTAACAATGCCATGTACAGTGTAGTCAGCTAAAAAAAGTCAAGACACTTTGCAGCCTCCACAAGTGGACCTCCCATGATTTAGGGGAAGGGTGTTTACACACTTTTGTAGCATATAATAATATTTTTTTAATCCCTTTCATGGAACCTGTAGTGCAAATTGCCAGAATTTTTAGTTTTGTTACATTTTTTTAGCTGATGGCATTGTACATGTGTATGTAGCTTCAACTCCATGGGTATCCAGAACAGAAACTCCTGAAGTAGCAATGAACTTTTGAGTTTTATGATGAATATATCTCAAGGCAATAGCTGAAGGGTATGCAGTTTCACTCTAAAGAAGCCTGTCAACTGACTATTGCTTAAGAACTCTTGGTAAGACTTTATTTTTTTAAACAAAATATAAAACAGTATCAAAAAAGATAAATCTCAAAATATCTATTAGGTTCAATGTTGCATTCTGTTTAATTATTTTATAGTTATAGTTTTTGAAGGAACAGAGTAAAATTCATTTAATGTCTGATATACCTTAACCATATGCAATGCTTTTGAATGGTTATACAGGAAACTTTTTCTCATTTGTTCTCGGTTATAATATCCAAATCTTTGAAGAACTTATCCAAGAGAATTCATAGTTTGTGGAAGTCTTTTGGTTTATTTTGTCAGGTTTGTGCTTGCTAGAATTTCATTCAAAAATTAAAAGGTAGAAATAGTTTTCTTGAGATGTGCCGTATCATTATTGGACTTTTCATACAGTGGATTTTGTGTCTTTATTCACTTTATGCTTATTATCCTACTTTGTTCACAAGACCTAAATCTATGTGTTGTATCAGTGGTAGCTTAACCTTCTGTTTCAGAAAATAATAGTTCTGTTATTTTAACGTTTAAACACCACTTTTCTTTCTTTAGTATGTTATCATTATTTTCTCTGAAGCTTTAGATGTTGCCAGTGTCTTGGAAGTCTCAATAAAATGAGACGAGTCTGGTAAGTCAGAACAGAAGGGTAATTTCTGAAGAGCAGAGTTAAGCTACATGTTAGATACTTCTGTATCTGTGGAAATTTGGTTAATTTTGCTTAATATTTAATAGTTGGACTGTGTGGTGGTGAACTAGTTTTCACTGTCACATTGTTGACTTACACTGCAGTTTGTTGCATATGGGAGAGTGGGTTATGCTGGGCAGCTGTGTGTTCCAGGTGGACAGAGAGAAGTAGGGTGGTTTGGGAGGGCGTGGAAACTTGGTGCTTTCTTTAGAAAGTACACAAGGTGTATGATTCAGCACATCTCTCCATATACATCAAGGAGTCTTATTTTATACTTTTTTCAGAATGCTGCAGGTACAGTGATTCATTGAATTAGGAATTATTTCACATTGGATTATCTAAAGGACAGTGGATCAACTCATAGTTGCTCTTCACAGCTAGCTCTTGGTTTCCCTTGGGTGATCAGGTCCTTATGACAGACTTTACTCAGGATTTGCCTTCTGCATCTTCACAAACTTTCTAACATGGTGCATGCATTTTCCAGGTACATCTCTGTGTGGGAAGGGGGGGCATTTATAAGCACTGTTAAAACTATACACCCTTAAAATTTTGCCTTTAGGAATTATTTAGTCAGTCAGCATAGAAAAAAAGTTTCTGCTCCTTGAAATACTATGAAGTTCTCTGTGTGTGAGTACCCATATTCTCTTTAATCATAAAGGGATTTGTCATGTATCTAGTGCAAGGTCAAAAAGGAGTTTTCTTCATTTTTCCATTTTCAGAATCAGACAGTGGAAATTCCTCTTTTAGATATCCACAGAGAAAAAGCACCTTTTACCTACTTTGCACAAGTTAAGTTAGAGCTGCCAATGTTTTATTCTGTCTGAGGATTCAGATTAGTGTTTTCTTTTATTTCTTCAGAAATGAAAGATTGCATGTGAAAAATCCTGTCAAGTCCAGTTGAGCTTCATTGTTCCTCAGTCCATAAACTTTCTTTGTGCTGAAGAAAATGTACACAGGAGGTGCTGAAAAGGAATGGATTTAACAAATATTACTAACATATGCCTTTCACTAGGATATAGTTCAGCTCCTTATTCTATCACTCTTTGCTTGAAAACTGTTCTGCAGTCATACAGGAACTACATAAATGGCTTTTTGTTCTCAGCTAAATGGGAACAAGGAATAAAGTTTTCATCATTATATCTCTCTGATAAGGATTTTCCCTCTTTTGCTTTGGCATGTCTTCAAGTTAATATAGATTAACATTCTTAAATAAAATAATCAGTGAGGGTCATAAGCAAAGACCTTAATGATTTTCAAGAGTCCAAAAGCACCTCATAAAAAGTGACAACTTACTCATCAAAAGCCTTCAAATAATAGCTGTTTCAAATAAGAATAATCATGAAAGGTGTGCTGCGTAAGTGGTATTTTCTATGAGTATAGTATTTTCCTTTTTGTGCATGTGCAATTGGAAATATTTATGGAAAAGAAAAAATTCATCTTTCTTCACCTTGTTATTCAGATTTTGCCAGAAGGAACAGTTTAATAGTGAAGAGGTCTCAGAGGAGATATGGTATCATTTTTTGTTTTGTACCATCTGTATCACTTAATTATAGTAAAAACTTGTTATTATACTAACACAGCTGAATATTACCCTCTGCAGCTCCATTTACCATCTATAGCATAGGCTTAATAATATTTAAGTGCTCCGTGGAGGTGCTATTAGACGTTTGTTAGTTATGAGTGATATTTTTTATACTTCAGGCAGAAAAGATGAACAGAGTTTTGGGAGGTACAGGCTTTTTTAGCAGTTCCCAGCAAGCAGGGCAGAGTGTATGCCTTGCAGCACAGGAGAGCTTTTGCAGGTGGTGGGTGTCCAGCCTCCTGGTGAAGAGTGGTGAGAGCTGCTCTGTGCCTGGCGAGCCCACCTGTGGCCATGCACTGGTGGAGGGAGAAGCGTGAAGGATTTCTTGTGCCTTTCTCCTCAGTCTCAAACCCTTGCTAAACTGGCACCAACCTCACTGAAGCACTTTGAAGTCTTTGGCTGGAATGTGCTGTCGATGTATGGAATGTGTTATGGATGTATGGAATGTGGGGGATATTATTTTTCATTATTATTGTGGACTCAAGCTGTGCTTGAAAGACATGGGCTGTTGACTGGGTTAAATTCAATTAAACATAGTGGCAAGGATCTTAGGCTGTCCTGGACACCTTCTCCCCACCCCCTAATATGAACTGAAAGCTGATACTAATGATTGTCGGGTTTTAATACAATAAACCCTTACATTTATTAGACTAGAAAAAAGTTTTTCTAGAGGACATCTTTTATGTCATCCAAGAAATAAATAGTTATAGCATTTAAAATGCATGCTTGCAATCAATTAAAACTTTCACAAAAGAAGTTTCAGTTACTTGTAGATAAAAAAGCTACCCATGGAAACAGAAGTAATTTGGGGGCCTGGTGGAAGGTCAAGCTCATTAGCTTAAATTCTGGAAAATGTGCTTTATTGCTGATAAGAAAGAACACAATGCTGAATGGATTAAGCTGCTTATTTGTGTGAGAATACAGCAGTTTTCATTGAGAAAATGTGTTGGGAGGACAATCCATATACTTCCATGCGAGCAAGTGTGAGGCAGGTGCACAAGTTAATGAAGGATGTAAGGCATGGTTTTTCCTGGCAGGCTATGGAACGTGAGCATATCTAGGACAGGTGTTCCAATTAATGAGGAAAATATATTTGTGCATGGGGAAACATCCCTTTTTATGCAACAAAACCCACCATGCATATATTTCATAATGGAAGGAGCTGGGACTTCATTCGCTTGAGGGGAATGATGGGCTGTTCCTTTGGGATCAGGACTGTGTTGTGAAAATGAGAAAGCAAGGTAGCCTTGCAGTGTGATGTGTTATCAAATTACCAGCTTTCCATTTTATCAGATAGGACAGAGGAGTTTGCCTTCCAGTGCAGAGATGGCAAACTTGCCACCTTGTGCCCTTTTATGCTGTCACAGCTCTTATGCGTGTAACAGTGAGGGCTGATGATGTTGTGGGAAGGTAATGGATTAGAAGCTGAAAAAAAAACCCAAAAAAACAAAACAAACAACAAACCTGAAGGAACTTTTCAGCTCATAAAGCTTTTATGAGCTGAAAAATGCTTGTGGGGGTGTTGTTTAACAGTGGTTAAGAGGATGCTGGAAACATAACTCCTGACTGTATCAGGAGTAATTTGCACACCTGCATTTTTTGGAGACATTTGAAAGTCTTTACTTAGTGAATATGTTTCAAAGTGCTTATTGGACCCTGGGACTCACACCAGCACTGTCTGGTTTCTTGTCCCCTCCAGCTTTGAACAGAATGAAATTGCAGGAGCTTGTGCTTTGTAGATGTGGAATTTTATGGAAAGAAGTTACAAACCTTTGTGTTTCGACATGTAACTCTCTGACATGCACATTTCTGTCTTAGCAGTGTAAGAGGGCATGTGAAATTTGAATGAAATGCAGAATGGTAATGAGTCATAGTCATAAACCTTAACAAAGAAAGCAGAATAGAGTCTTTTCAGGTCCATCTCAGGCCTTGTCTTTAAATGCATTTAATCCTGTTGCCT